AAAGTACATCTTCATTCCGTCTTGATGAAAAGATAATATTAATTCGGTTGTTCTGTAACATGTTTGATGTAATTAAATTGGATCTTATTTAATGAAATTATTTTATTCACAAATTTTAAGTGGTAAAATCAATGAAAATTCTGATAAATTTTAAACATTCATACCTCTTTCAAATGTAGTAATCAGCTATTAATTTCCTTTGAAGAGTTGCACATATAACAAGTACCAATTTATCTAAAATTAATTTATATTTTCCATTAATATTTTCGCAGTTTACCAACCGTTTCACTTAACATTAATTAATTTTTGCCGATTTAAAAATGTTAAAGCGGCAAATGGTTTGTTTTTAAGTCATGTGCCCGTTTTTATTGCTTTTATTAAACGAGATGTTTGTTTTCATAAGTACGGTTTAATGTTTTTAAAGTTATTTGGCTGATATGTTAAAATTTTTATAAATTTATATTTAATAATATGATCATATTCTGGTTAATGTTCATTTCAAATTAAATCTATGCTTTCAAGGTTTTATTATATTATCGTGTGGTTAATTTAATACTATATTTTTCGAGGAGTCATCTTGCAAAGAAGGACTTCATTTGTTTAAGATATCATTTGGTAAATATTTATTATGTATTACATAAAATATCAGATTTTTTTTAGTGTAACCAAATAAATATAAATTGTTTTTCAATTCATTTTCAAGAATAGGTATAACTGTGACACATATGTATATACTGATAAAGTTGCACATCGAACAGAAAAAGTTCTAAGTGCAAACCAATCATTCAAGTTGCATGTGTTCCAATTCCGTACTTTTATTTATTGAACTTTGTTTTTAGACTGATGGAAAGACTGTAACTTGTATTTGAACTTTTGTAACAAAGGATTTGTTAGTTATTAAAGTAACATAAAATGTGTATGAAGTTATTAATAGGGGAAATAAAAACTTATTGCTCTTTATTATCCTTGGCACCGCGTAACAAATTACTAGTTATATGATACAGGCTTGTGAACTGATAGGTGTTTATAATAACATATTATGTATATAGTATTATATTATATATACACTTAAACTATTCTCATGTTTGAATATGTATAAGGGATAACTTAGCAGCCTACACTTTGGTTAGTTAAAATTATGGTAAGGATGAGGTCTCTTGGCTTAGGAAGTTATACTGAATTAGATATGAATACGAGGCATTGACCATTCATAGTTAATATATTGCCAAATATTTATTATATACGAGTATGATATTGTTTTTCTTAATAAGTATTGTGCTGTATTCATTATAATATATTTATAATGCAAAAGTTCTAGTTAAATAATAGTCTAATCTAAAATACATTAAAATCAATATTAATAAGTAAGTTTTGATAGTTAGTAATTAAAACTCTTAACAGCAAATGGACCGTCTACACTCTACAAAGGGGCTATGTAAAGTTTAATTGAAACCAACGCTAAGTTTCCGCGAACTTCGATTCATACATCCCTCTTCATACGCTTCATATTCATTTAATGAGTAAACTTAGTGAATTCGATTTTTAGTTAACACACAAGTAAATGAACTACGTGCCCTAGTTTGAGTTGAGCTTATTGAAATTGGATACAAATGTATCAATTTATGTTTGGTGAATTTATTGTTAATTAAGTATGAAATTTAAAAGCTGTCGCAATGTGTCATTTCGAATTGAACCGGTTTAATGTATTCATAATATGAGCTCCTGGCTTTAAAAGTCTTTAAATTTAACAATTTCTGCTATTAAAACGCAGTATCAATGTTTTTATAGCTCGTTTTTTATAATACAAAGAATTTTTTAAGTGAACACGAATAATTTCTTCAATATTCACATTGACAGTAAGGCGCTCAAATCTATGCCAAATAAAATTTTAGTTTTTCACATTATTTGAAATAGAGATATTTATTTAAATGTTAAATTAATCATATATTATCACTATAGGAATTGAGTCATTATTTCTGATATATATCTAAGAATTTTATACAATTGCTATTGTAATGATAATACGATTTTCGTTTTGGAACAAAAAATAACACCCATGCATGTATTCTCAGTATTGTATTTGAAAGTAAGTCAGATATAATATAATAATAATAATAATACGTGAACTTGTGACTATAAATCCATAAGAATTAATTGTATTTAGGTTAAACGACGTAAATACATTTTCTTTTATAATTGTAACATTCAAAGACTATTATAAATATAAATTTGTAATAAATATAGGACTGTAAGCCTTCGATTTCACACGAGTGAGATTCATAACGCTTCAATTTCAATAGAACGACTACCAACGGAAATTCTTTGCAAATATCTGTCTATATACTTAAAAGAATTCTGTTTCCTTTCCCGAACACCGATCGTTTAAAATTGTTTCAGTCTTATTAGCGACGTATTTGATGTTTCAATATAAGGGCTATTGAATTTTGTTCCTAATTAAAATTGTTTAATATAATTAAAGAAATATAATATATTGAAGTACAAAAAAACTTTATTGATTTTCTTTAAAATAAATTTATGTCGCCCAGTAAATTTGTTTTATATTAAATATACAGTTGTAATGTTCTGTATTTATTTGCTTTTGAAAAAGAATTTCCACGAGTATTTTTTATTTATTTACTTGTTCTGAGGTATAGATATGTTATTGATATCCATTTGTCAGCTGACGCTTTATGAAAGAAGATATTTTAGTCTACAAATTTTTAGAGTTCCCTGGCTAAGATCTAAAATCTCTTAAAAGTATAATGTAATATATGAACATGTTGTAATAAGTAACCGCAGAGTACACATATAAATCATCCAATTATTCGAAATATTACATTTTAATTATATTTTTATTTATTTGCCAAAACTGCAATAAAACTTTATATGTCATACCAGTGAATACTATATAAAAAACACTGAAAAGATAATTTAACAAACTATATTTGCGAAACTTGTAACTTTAAAAACGTCCTTGTAAAGGAATTGCTTTTGATTGCACGTTCGAAGAATGTTTGAAGAAAATCCATATAAATGTAAACTATTTTCTAAATTATATTTTAAACACGCGAGTGCACGTGATACCGTAATTCCAATGTTAATCACAGACATTGAGCAAATAGCTCAGAGATTTTAGTTTTGCTATTTAATGTATGAAAATGTTTTGGTACCGAATATTTTACCATAATGATAATTTTGGCAATTAAACTATTTCTACACGGAGAATGCTAATTATGATATAAAAATTACTTTAAGCCATGTGCTATAACAATATGTAAGTAACAGTTTTATATGTCGTCGTATCCTTATATTATGTAAGTTATTTAATAGATTTTAAGGGTACATATTGTAGAATGAATAGTTAACATAAAAGTCCCTTTGTTGATGCACTCCACTCATATATTTAGATTCTTAGGTTTAAGGTTAACTCCAATAAATTGAGTTACGCCATAATGGGTGTGATTTATCTAAACGACATCTCATTTCGCGTCAACATACAGTCATCCATCCAGGCTCCAACGTGTGACATTTTGATTTGGTTTTGCAAATCTGCTTCACATCTTTAAGCACATAAAGTGCTTCATTATTATGTAGGAGATCACGCAAAAGCGCTTTGGCAACGATTTCCGCGTAACATTCAAATACAATATGAATTGCGTTTTAGTAATCCTATCGTGAATTTACATCGTCATAGTAATGAGCTTCTTGTTGACAATATTAAGGAATGCTTTGTTGTGATATTGGATTCTAAATTGCCTGCCATAATTTATAATGTGCAATTCAGTTCGTCACTAACTATTGTGGTATTCATAATCAATCAGGTGTGAAAACGATTTCATATATAAATAAGAACAATATAGGATGATTGCGATGAAAAAGGCAAAAATTGTTTTAATGTTGCAGAAAATGTTTTGTGTGAAATGAAACTATTATTATTATTCGGAGGATGTGAATTGTTGGTGTTCTCGGGATTTCCTGAGGGAATCAGGCTTTATTCGTTACGAATTAAGTATCATGCTCTAGTAATCTCTTCTGGTGTTGTGTATTCATGTTTTTGGAAGTCAGTGGTTATTTTAATGTAGTATTGATATTTAACATTCTTTGGATACTATTACATATTATAAGTTAGGTATAATTGAGATATACAGTTATAAATATTTTCATTTTAACCTTTTACAATTTCAAACACGTCAAAAAATAACAAGGTTCTGAGCTCTATTTCGATAGACAAAAAGTCCGTAACAAAATTTTGATTGCTTCAAAACTAGCGATTCAGAAGTAAAATAGAGTTGATTTCCGGGTTCAATTTGATTTTATGTTGTAAAATTTTTACCTGTACACGAAATAAACTGTACGGGTTTCTTGATTACGTGGATTTGAGTATGTTTCGATACAGGAAAAAATATATTTTAATAGCTTTGTATTTTTTTTACTGCTCACTTGAAATTTTAATATGTAGGTATATATAGCAATCATAACATCAAATTTATAAGTAACAAATTTTATTGTTATAAAAATCGTAATTTTACTCAGCAGATATTTACGGGGTGATTACAATGACTCAAGGTCTGCTTGTAATAGACTAACACCCATTTCACTAAATTTCAATTTGCGACGAGTATTTTACGGAGTAAACTGGGTAACATAGCACTGCGCGATTGAAATTTATATTATTCTACTTTTCGTTGAAAAACTTTTCACCATATTTTTGGATTTTTAGTGTTAAAAAAATTCTTTATTTTCTTTAGTATCGGCTAAATGAAATAATTGACATGAATATGTTTCTTAGATAGATACAACATGTATAAGTCGAAGTTCCCTAACTAACAAAAAAAACGTAACTTATCAAGTTTTAAATAGACAAGAAATCATTTTACTTGTTAATTTATATTTTGTAAAGAGTAAATAAATAATTGATCATTAATATAAATAAAAGTAACCAAAATATTTTAAGACTTTTATAATTAATTAAGTGTTATTAATAAACATTAATGTTTTAGAACGACAAACTGTTCGTGTCACAAAGACCATTCACAAAAATTTCTCCGCTGACACTCAAGCCCTAATTAAATTTGGACAAGTAATTTCTCTTGAAGCTCAAGGGAACGAGAAGACGAATAAATACATAGTTATAAACAAGGTTAATTATTATTGTGTAAAGTGAAAAACGGAATGTTTTATCAAGAAATGGGTTCATTATTTTAAAAACTAGCATGACATGTTCGTGTAGGTATTTCAGTAGTGCTCTAGTTAGCTAGTCAGGTCTTCAACAATATTGTTATTTTTAAAGTATCAAGTTACTTCAAAATGTCTGTTGTATTTTAATTATTTATATTATTTAATGAATTTATATCGAATTATAGCAACTATATTTAATATGCTTTTTCTCTCATCGTCTTCAATCGTTAGGAAGCCCGGAAAAATGATTAATTAGTGTGCTTTTGAATATAATTATTATGAGCAATAGGATATTTTGTATTAATATAATACTACTTCTGGGTATTGTTATAAAATATTAAATGTTACTTTAGTTACTCGGTATAGGGAATTCCAGTGGCGTTTACAAAGATTTATACGTAATCTGAGATGCGTAGCAGCTTGTTTTCAAAATAATATATCAAACTTAACAGAGGATTATCAGAAGATCCGAGTGAGGGGATATGTTGCTGGCTTAATACTTAAATTGAAAGTATATACTAGCATGTGACGAGACTGTCAATATACATAAAAAATATTTACACGTTGACGGATTGAAAACGGATTAAGAAGATTGCATGAGGGAAAATTTTCCTTTATATTTTTAAAGAAAATTTAGAATTCATTTGCTTTTAAATTGAATTACCTACCTTACTTTTCTTTAATAGAAGTACTTACAGGACTTATGTTATTTGTAATTTATAAAAGTCTTATTTCCTATATATAAATTTATAAAAGAAAATTAATGTTTATAATTATGTGTGAATCAAATATAATGTAGTCGTTATATTGAATACCGTTCATTAAGTTTGTCAGCGACTGATCAAAGACGAAAGTAGCGACCCTGAATGTAATCAAGAGGCTTACATTCTTGAATATGTAATGATAACTTCAGAATTTCACTTAAACACACATCAACAGTCCATGTAAATATAAATACATTAATATTATTTAATTAAAAATAGGCTTAGCGTTCGATAGTCGCCAAATGTCGCCACAAATGATAATCATTAGTGCATACTGACCAGTAATGTAACGATGACCCGAGCCTCAATATTAAATTAAATACATACGATTAAAATTTCTGTTTTAGCTGTAGAAACTAAAATTCACTAGAAATTACTACAGATATTTTTATGTATATCAATGTTACTCGTTCGTTTGTATATAATAGCTTTAAGATTTATTTCATCCTTAACATTTTTAGTATATAAATTCACATTATAGAATATGGATTGAATTGATTATAGAAAATGGCTTATCGAAACTAAAACATAAATTTCTCAGCACTTTATACTCTAAGAATCTTTTACAGGTCCAATAAAAATCTTAGGAAATACAGTCTTCTACAGCTGCGGGTTATAAATAATCGAAGTGGGTAGATTTAAAAACGAATGGAGAATATAAAATGACATTATATTATAATCTTACTTAGTGAATCATAAAAATATTGGACATTATTTATATACGTAATGCTGTTATTAAGTAATCCCAAACCTTCCGTTCCGATGTCATCCCCAATGATAATATATTTATGGGCAAAAAACAAGTTCACTAATCTTTTTTTATTCTCTCCGGACAATTTTGCTTGTAATCGTTTTAGTTACAAGACTTTATTGGAAACTTAATTTTTTTTTATAAATGATCATTTTATTTTAATTTTATTTAAAGTTTTATAATAAAAAACTTGATAATATACTAATATAATACTTTGACTAACCAAAGAAGTAACAAAACGCCAAAAAAATTAAAAATCACCACGCGTGAAACACCACGACCTCACGTCGATGTAACAAAATACGAAGTTAAAAAAATGTGAACAAGTGAGTTGACTTTATTTGTTTTATGTGCTCGTGTAAATACCGCCATGCGTGGTTTATTCAAAGCTTATTTTAATTATTTTCCAGTCGGCTACAACCTTCATACTGTATATTTGATAAAAAATTATACTAGTTTTAATTTATTTTTATCATGTTTAGTTGTTCCTTTATTATAATAGTTTTTGAAGCGTTTTCACTGTATATATAATCATGTCATCTTTTTCTGTAAGTTAAGGAGCAATATAAATAGCGTAAAAGATTAGAAGAATCAAGATTCCATTTAAACGGCGCCAGGGCCCGTTATCCAAGATTTCTAAGTGGCTCCAAAACTGTCTACTTTCCATAAAGTCTCTGATAAGGGTGAAGGGTACGAGGTACTGTCGATTACTGGCATATTTTAGATTTCTTGAATTCCTTTATTACATCGCTGTTGTATACTTGACAAATATGTTATAATATCAATATGTACTTTTAATGATCAAATACATATATCTCTTATTAAAAATTGTTGGTGACGTCAAAGTTTACAAAGTATACTCAAGATCATTAAATTAATATGAGCCATATTCAAGTGAAACTTTAAAAAGTTTTTTATACTCACAGGATTACGGACATTTCGAGATAGATAGAGATATATTTTGCTATAGTACTACATTAACAAATGTAAAGATAAAATATATAAAGGAAGGAAATTGTTGTTTACTCCATATATAAATTACTTAGTAATTTAGCGTACATAAATCTTTAATATAATAATCTGAGGCACTATAAATTTAATATGAGTTTCATATCTACAACAAGTCCGGCTCAACTGTACTCAAGTTGGAAGCACTAAATAGAATAGAACAGAATTATACCGGTTCACTTCAATACACTTCAAGTAATTAATTAATTACCGTTATAACTCCCACCCTTGAAGAAATGAAGTAACGGCGGTCTTGACACATTTATTTGCTCATTCAGTCTCTACTGGTCTGTGTAATTTTCTTTTATTGAACCAAAGTATAGAGGCTTTAATTGTAAATTACTTCTAAGATTGCTCCCTAGATTTGTTTCTATCATTAAGTTATTTAGTAGAAGTATTTTTCTGTGAAACTACTGAACATTTTGTTCTGATGAAACTGATTTATATTATAATACAATTCAAGAATTCTTTATTGGGGTTCATCTCATTTAAATGACTAACACTCAAACAAGCTTTCACAATAATAATATTATTAAAACATTATTAAATATATGAGCAAAGAAAGAATTATGTTGATATATGTACATATGTAAAGATACTGAATGAAAGGATTGCTTCAAGATACACAATATTAGTTTAGGATCTTTAAAGACACGAACATTTAAACTCAGTAAGAGAAAACCTTTCCTCAAATAAGCTTCAAAGGGTTCAAAACACTCAGTTTAAACAAAATCAACTTGCTTTACAACCTTCAAACTTATTCAAGTTCCGTCCCCTGACTGTGAATGATGATCATCAACCAGAAATTTGACTTAAAAACTTTCATTTTGTACGAAAACTCTGAAATATAAAGAAATTTGTCATAGTATCCACGGGCAAATTAACGTTCGTGATTTATTTTGATATAATTAAAATTAAATAAATGAAAAGTCTATTGAATTTTTATTAAATCAAAAGCACTTTAAAACGAAAAGCAAAGTTTTGTATGTGACGTGACAATATAATATAAAAACAAATGAAATTATTGAAATTACCCTTATAAGAGAAATTAATATTTTTGAATAATTTATAAACAATGTAAGTAATTTATTTAAAAAAATAACGTAAGTTACTGGTTTATAATGTATATATCGAACAGTGAAAAATTTTTGTAATAAAACAAGATGCTCCAAAGATCTGTAAATATTGTTCTAGTAATGTGAGACTATGTTATTCTTAGTTGTAATGAAGGCACTTTAGGTCGGGATAACCGCTAACTAACCTTTTCTAATGTGATGTCACTAAAACGGACATTTTCATGTCTGTACTTGAAAGTTAAGATTAGGTATCTCTATACTATTCTAATTCATACTGATTTGATGTTGGGTACACTTTCAACTAGGTTTATTACTAATATTTCTTAAATGATATGTGTAAGTTGGTATCCATATCTTCACGAAATTCATATTAACCTCTGGGTTGTGTTTTATGCAGTACAATAACCAAAAAAGTACTTCCATCCTAATTTTAAAATATTGCGACATAAAATCTAATATAAGTATTTAATTTTCAGGTAATAGCAGTTGTAATCCTCTTTTATTTCCTGGTAACGTAATTAGTTTGCTTTTTGAGTCGTGGTATGAATGAGAAACTTCTCCATTTATAACACAAGCCGTCGCGATTCATACGATGGTCGTGAATTTTACGACAGGTGTAGGTGTAAATGAAGTGATACCGAAAATACCGCGCTGGACATAGCCACATTCCTATTTTAGCCGAGGCCGCGAGCGGTCTGCTGAGTTTATAATAACGTACTTCATGCATCGATAAAGTCCTTATCGTTGAGCACCCTTTTCTCAATAGCACATTCTCGGGCACAAGAAAAATACAGTTTGAGGCTGTGATGACGATAATAAAATTAGACCTTTTTCTGTCGTATTATGGTCGCTTCTCCCTTTTTTACTATCTGATTTACGATCAGGTGTGGGTGCTTGTCACCCGCTCTTCCACTATTCAATTTGCACAAAGTGGAACACCTTCGGATTCATTCGCCGCAGTAAATGGGGTCCCTTTTTGAAGTTAATACGCTGAATTCATACGCGTACCGTTTGAGTTTACACGTTGTATTAGGTTTGTTGATTGAAATGAGACACTTTTATATATAGGACAAATTCGGTTAATTAGATAGTGTGATTTAACTAAAAATGAGTTAATATAGTTGGTATATTAAATAATAACTTTTTGTTAATGTATGCTTTTGAGTATACGACATTTTATTAGTGAAATGTTCATCATAGTTTATGGTAAAATACAGTGAATTCAGAATTCACGCTCAAGTTCAACTTTCTTTTACAGCAGTCATCCACGCGTTGATATGGCTCAAGAA